AAGCAAATTGAAACAGGAAAGGAATGTGAGGGAATGTTTAGTTGATAAAGACCTCCTTTAAGGCCCTCTTGCAATAACATTGCCCTTGTTGCCTTGTCTTTAACAACACAATAATTTGCATCAAACTCCTCAACAACATTATTATCTTTAGTAAATAGATATACTAAGCAATTTTTTGGTGATTTTAGGAACACAAAGTATATTTCTAAGATGCAAACATTTAGAATGTAAGGCACTAGGAAGCAAAGAATGACATGTGTGTGAAATCGGAAGATACTTATCACTACCCACTTGAAGCCATTCTTCACCATCATAACTCTTGCAATTGCTCAAATACTAGAGATCAGATGCAACCTAATTTGTAGCTCCTAAGTCCATATACCATGCAGGGTCAATTGGAGAATGCACTGCAGCAGCAAAATGCAATTGCTGATTGGGATGATGGGTTATACAAATACTATGAGGTGCACTAGATTGTATAAAAGGTGAACCACCACGAGAATGAGTAGCCTACCCTTGGCTAGTGGAAACAAAATTAACTTAACTAACTCCTGATATTTGTTGGCTAGGAACACCATAAGAAGAACTATTTAAGAAATCAAATTAAGAGCCAGCATTGTGCTGATGATTATGTTGATGAGAACCATAGGCTTACTGATAGGAGATTTGGACCTGTGTTGTATCGAGTACTAGCAGTGCCAAATTGATAAGAGGATGTTGAATGTGAGAGTGGTGGTTATATAAATATAGTAACTCTAAGATAAGGTTCCAGGAGATTGTATGGCACCATTATAGGAGGTATTATACCTACGATAACACTGAACGGCTGAATGGCTAGCTTCATTACATACTTGACAAATAAGTCTACTTTTATCATAACTCCTTCCTCTACCTCTCCCATAATTGATGGGTCTAGCAGGTCTAGGATTGAAACCATTATTATGGTAAGGTATAAAGGGCTAAGGTGAGGATGGAACTTGATAAGGTGGTGGAGCTATATAGGTTTGTGAGCAGTGAGGGTTACCAAGTGATATCAGTGAGGGAACGTTGTTGAATGAATTTCTAGTAGCTTTAACATTATTCGTATTGTTCTGATTTGATTGAGCTAATAAACTAGCAACATTACAATCACTAGGATTGTTAATAGGGACCATATTAGCAGAAGCCATATTAGCTAAGCTATTATAAAAGTCAATTGCATTAAACTTGTCAAGTCTTATTTCATATTCCTGCAATAGAAATTGAGCTTCTTGTAGTGTGTCAGTATCAACTTTGGACTCTAATCTAGACGTAAGTGTAACAACCGCAGCATCATATTTAGGTTCTAGTCCATCTAGCACATACTGTAATAAATCCTCATCTGAAACAACTAATCCACTAGCTAGTAAGCTTTCTACAATCTCTTTCATCTTTTTGACATAATCACTGTTAGTAAACGACCCAGTTACCCAGCGGAAAACAAAAAATATAAACTCTATAGATCGTTCCTTAGAACCAAGATCCGGGTACAAAAATCACCGTTTATATAAAATAATCAAATCTGTAGAAAAATCAGTTCAAGGTTTAAGAAACATACCCACATTTGGAGGCTCCACCAATATCGTCTCTAAATGTGTTTGCTACCGATCCAAGTGTAGGATCGAACCGTAGAGGTCCACATGAAGACAATCAACAAGAACCAATGAAGGATTTGCTAGATCCTCCTTGGCCTTAAGAAATCAAGAAGAAAACAAAAGGAGTGTTTGATTTTCAATCAAACAGTAAAGTGGCATGGGAGACTGTTTTGGGGCTGGAGGTTTTCTCTTTTTCAAGAATGAAATAATGAATAATAAAATAACACTCTTATTTTTTTCAACTAAAACCTTTTCTTTTATAGTGTTATTTTAGTTGCCCTATTCCCATATGGAATGGGCTTGGGCTCCAACCAAACATCCCCAATTTGCCAAACACTCCAATTAGATATTTTAATTTAATTCATCATTATCTCAATTAAAATCAATTAATATTTAATTAACATTTAACAATAATGATGATTTAATTAATTATGTGCGAACGCACATTTAACCGGAATTTCACTTATTTAATTTTTCTAACAAATTAAATAAAGGCTATGACCTCAGCAAATTTAATTGCACTATGAAATTACCAAAATACCCTTTCACCCAAAAAGACGAAAACGCCCTTCTTTCTTCCTGAGTCTTAAATTATCTTCTATATGTGTGACCTATAGGCTCCTCATCATACCGGTAGTGTATAGTATCGCGATTAACACTAATTAATCATCTCACTTATACACAGACCAAGATTGGCCCCTAGCAAGGTATCATGGCCACCCGATAGATTCGGATTCAGCAAAGTAGCTACTTGTCAATGATATGGTTACCGTACAATTCGATCCTTTCATAATTCGTTATCTTGATGAGACGAAGGCATAGAAATAGTGTCAACCTTCGGTTACTCTCTATATTATGTATTAAGTTTCTGGACCAATGACCCGTATTATAAACTGGATAGAGCAACAACTCAATCCCACAGTGGCCACAGTTTTAGTGTCATTGCCATATACTGAATTGGCGCCGTGAGATAACTTCTCCTGTACTCGGAAGTGATGAATCCTCTGTCAATCCACCATAGTCTTGATACACTCCTTGATGCAGCCAATCACCATCGTACTGACAGCTCTAAATAGAACTGCGTTAGGCTAGTGTCAAACTGCACTAATCGGTGCACAAGGCGCTCTAGTGATCTCAAGTCTAAGGATCACATGCACCACCATTCGTTAGAGGATTTGTTCCATAGACACTGGGGTTACCATCCATATGGAATCCTTTGGTGGGTCAGTCCAGTGAACTTGCTGCGGTGTAATCGCCTACAGCAAGCACCCATATGTTGCACCAGGTTGTCACCAAACAACCTTAACAAGTGAGATCTGTCACTGCCTTTCAACAGGGTCGTTCAACACTATGATAGCCTTACCGTATTATCTGTGTCCTTACTTCAGAATAATATTATAGCTACGAACGTTTCTAGAATGGCCACCATATGTGCTCATAGGGTTCTCACTATCAAGATTTGAAACACTTGATACCCTCGTCACGGTTCTACCATTCTAAGAACATATATCAATACATATTGCAATAATAATGATTTACGCGATATAGAACAAAATGCCTTTTATTATTGATTAATTAACATTATTACAAAGAGTCAATTCTACAACAATTGATTGGCTCTATGGCATCTACTCTAACAATCACCAATACTCAGATTTCATTTTTGAGTAGTTTGAAGTAAGTTCTTAAGATGAAGAGCCCTAGCTTTTGAGTCTGTTGAAAATTCATTCTCTAGAGCTAACCAAATTTCAATGGAAAAATAACATTTGGACATATAGCATAACATAATTTTTGAAATCGAAGCCAGAAATCAACCCACCAAGAACTTGTTAGTTCTTTCCAAATCACATAGGCTGGATTTAACTTCTCACTGATAGTATCACTATTAGGTCTATATTTCATCCCTAATTTTACTTAGGTTAGTTTCAATTCAGACTCACAAAGCACATTGGTGGAGACAAGGAATCCTACCTAAGAGGTGACCTTCCAGTTCATTGGACCAACAACAAACAGCACTTGTGCGCTCCAAAAGCGATAATTGTTCCTCGTCAACTTAGGGTTAATGACTTGTAACTCGAAGCCAAAATCAAAGTTGTACAGCTTTTGAATCTTTCGACATACTACCAATATTATTTAGAAACTGAGAGAAATCAGAATCTTTGGCCATCAATGTGAGTCGAGATCTGATACCATGTGGAGTGTTGAAACTCAAGAAAAACATAGAGAAAATATTCGAAAGCGATTTTGTATTTACGATATGAAATACAATTACAGACTGTTGGCTACTATTAAACCCTTTCTCTTTCTTATACAAAATGAAAGAGTTAACACTTGCATAACAACCTGTAACAGATAACTGAAAACGGTTTCTTAACAGCAAAACAACACACTTTAGACAATATCAAGTGACTCCTCTTTACTTGATTCTTCTTTGCTTTTGGTCCTTTTAGTCAACAAATAGTGCACATAATTATGGAAGAAAATGTCGACTTCAAACTAATTGTGAAGAAAAAGAAAAATAGGATTTATGGCAAATAGTGAGTAAATTAAGCATTTATTTTAAAATAATTAATTTGAAATGTCATTAAATATAATTTCGAAAATCTCTTTAAAGGAATATTTATAAATTCCATTTTTATTAATATTATATACAATAAGATAAATATTATATTCGATCGTTATCTTGAGCCAGTTTTGGAGCAACAATTTGCAGACTAGATGGAAAAAAAAACTAGAATATTTTGTAATTGGAATCGCCATCGAATTAGAAAAAATTCTTTTATCTAGAGTGTTTGGCAAACTAGAAAATGCAGGAAAATCTTTTATTATATTACAATGAAGATGTGTTAGGGCAAAACCCGGGAGTACATACAACTCGCGAGAACTAAGACTGTAACATAACAGCTACTAACAGTGATTAACAAAACGCTGCGTTTCCGTGCTTCTGCTTCTTAACAATATAACCGCAATAAGCCTGCTTTCATAAATTAAGTTTTCTCTACAAATGAATTTGTATAAAGACCGCACTTAGTGATTGTAGGTTAAAACGGTTTAGCTTTCCAGCCACAGTCCAATATTTCTCCCACGACATGAAGCTTGTGAAAACAGTCATTGCCGCAATAATAACGACTCCATAGCATCCCATCTTTGAAGAGATGAACATAGTTGAACAAAACACTACCACATTGATTGTACTGAATAGAGAAGTAAGGATAATCCCACATCCAATCGTAACTCAACCGCAAATGAAATCTGTTTCTTCGTATCGGGAGAGATAACGGTAAGAACCTTATGATGGATGACGAGGATAATAGTAATGCTATGGTATCTGATATTGCAAGAATTATGAGGGAAGGTCTTTGAACAAAATGTGGAGTTCCTGTTTCTTCATTGGTTCCCCCTGGTACGTAAAAGCTGCAGCAAAAACCACGGTGGCAATAAGTGTTCCCGACGATGCATGCATTTGTCGATGTCCTTAGCCAATTTCTCAGCTTTATCCTTTAAATCTTTATGCTGTTCAGTAAATAAATCTCTAGCAGTTTTCCCTTTTTTATTTGTAGCTTCAGCATTCACTGGGTGCAAAATGTTCTTCACTGCCTACAGTTAGTAACGAAACATCTATCCGTCAAGGAAATAGCAAAGTATTTTATTCCATACAAGCCGGAGTAATTGAATATTCACCTTGAACCAAAGTAGCTCTCTTTGCAGATGGTAAAGTGCTCCAGCTGATTCGATATTATTGGGTCTGTCTGGTGGTGGCAACTTTGCTGCTAAATGCAAGATGTTGTTCCCTTCTTCATCTGTGTTCTTAATTATCAAATCCTTCAATGAACCTATGTCATAAATGATTCTGAATATACTAGAGTGACGATACATGACAGCATAATGAAATATGGTGCAATGATTTTCGTCAACTTCAAACATCAGATCAGGATATGCACAAAAAATTATGTTTAGAAACGCAAGGTTTCCTTGTTTTGCAGCCTCCAATATGACCGACCAAGGTTTTCTAATAATTTCAAGAATCTGGGAGTCATCCAAAAGCATTATTTGACTAGTTCAAAAGCCGCATGGAGAGTCTGGTCACCGATATCTGAAACAGCAAGTTTAGATAAGCCAACTTTAGTTTACAGAAAACTTGAGGATGCAAGGTATTTTCACATAATCAATTACATTAATTACTTGATAAAGAATAGACAAAATTTTATTACCCTCCTATTCAACAATTAACTGACTAGATTTTAAGTTTAAATTTTCATGTCGACGTAATGTATGGCAAAAAATTGTATTGAGCCTTGGCAAGCCCAAAAACAAAGTAAACTTGACATAGCCCAATGTCATAGTCCAATTCCAATTGGACATAGTCTTAAATCTATCTTGGAAGGACCATACAACAAGATGGCCCATTTTATAAGGAGATCTTTTCAATGGGCCAACCAATTCTATGAGCTGGTCCAAACCATGAGTTAGTTTATTCCATGAATTTGGCTACTCAAGGAGTATGATCACTCTACAGTTAAAGTCATTCTATGAATTGAGCCTCCTTATAAGTTTGGCCATTCTACTAGATGAGCTTACTTAGGTTCTAGCCCATCAACCTAATTCTAGAATAGGACTCTAAGTTCCACACACTTCCTAATTTATCAAAGATTCTTAATCTTACATGAATAAATACTCCTAATTCTGCATAGATAAGTTATACGATTTTTTTGTTTATTGAAAATTTTGAACTAGTAGAACTTCGAGTTCTACAAGAATTTAAGCCTTCTTAGCTCACTATATAAATAGAAGTCTGCTCTTTTATTATTCATTCAATCCCAATGCTTCTCACTTGCTCTCTAAGTTCTTGTTTCCAAGAACCAGCGCCATTTTCCCACTATAGAGTATAGTTCTGACTACTCTATTCCGATTATCGTATAACTGAGTTCTCACCACTTTACACCAATTAAGTCGTGCACCAAACACTCTGCTAACCCTTTCCTGCTCTCAGCCTTACTAGATTCCCTCATAATTGTGTTGACTTTAACGTCGGAGTGCCTACGGCTGACACCACACCGATGTCTCCCGTGAGCTTTGCATTCACTCTTTTGTGTGTGCAAGTCTACAAGATTGCTAGTGGCCTCATCCTTGTAAGATCATCCCCTTTCGAATCTACCATAGATTTATTATCTACACTTAATTAATATTGGTAGTGAAACTATTAGAGCATCCATAAATATCTTAATTTTCACTATATTTTAATACCTTATAAGGCTTATATATTGTTTAAAAAGTAAATAAAAACTTCGTCATCCAACCACGAACACTAAAATTTAAAGTAATAATAAATAGACAAAACTATAAAACAAATTGATACCGACAATGCACTTCGCATTTCGCCTTTTTAATCCGATCCCTCCAGCCCATCCTATTCCTCCACCGTTGCTCCCTCTCATTCAGTGGCGGATCCAGCCACTTTTTGGGTGGGTCATGGCCCACAGTCAAATTTTTTTTTTTTAATATTAATATGTATAATTTATATATTTTGGTCCATTCTAACAAACATATTAATAGACAAAAATAGTAATGTATAATAAATTTTTATTTTGGCTCACCCTAAAAGAAATTTCTGGATCCGCTACTGCTCTCATTGTTCTGATCCCTCAAACCCAGTTCACCCCTCTCCTTCACGCGTTGCCTCCCCAACACTGAATGACGTATCTTTATAGTGTCTCTTTGCACTTCATTTTCTGCTTTAAAACAACATGAAAGCACCTTTAATGTTCTTACACACAATTGCTTTTGATAATTTAATGTGAAAATCAGAAGCTTTTGAATAGACTATAGAGTACGGTTTTCAAATCCCATAAAAGAAGTTAATAAAATTTCATAAACTACTACTTTAGAAGGGAAAATTGTAGAAAATGTTATCTTATCATCTAAATTAATTAAATAATTCAAATTAATCTGTTTTTTTATTACAAAACTTCTTTAAATATAGATACTATTTGTTACTATGTTAAACGTTATAATATGTACTCTTGATAAACATATGAAGAAAACTTATATAAATGTATGAAAAATCATGTAGTTAATTAATACTCTAATAATGACGTTTTATTTATTTTAAACAAGATCATAGATACTATTTGTTTAGCTTTCTCAGGAAACCTGAGGTTTGCTTAGGAACTATTTTGCAGAATTATTTATCTGGTATATATATATATATGGACAAGCTTCGAGAGTACCACCATTTTTTTTACATAAATATGACACAATTTATGATCAATGTACTTTGAGTGGTTGAGATTGAATACAACTTACAAAATAAATGCAACTTGTGAATTCTGGAAATTAGATGAGATCTTAAGTATTGAATGCATTAATTTAACGGTTTATAAATTATGACAAAACTTGTTTAAAAGAAAATAATGCTCTTGAGTTTTCTTTAATATATGTGTGAAGGATTAGCGACGGACTTGAAAAGAAAATAAACGAAAATGAATGAATTGAGAGAGAAAGAAGAAAGACTCTGTTTCTTATTCTATTATTAAAACAATGAGTTAATACAATATTAGTTACAGAAGACATTATATAGTCTGATACAAAAGCACACAAAACGCACCGTGTGGTGACAATTTTATTTCTTTACAAAAACAACCCTACTTAACTTCTAATCTTTGCAGAAACAACCCTGCTTCTTATACTTGTTTCCAATATCTTCCTGTAAGCCAAGGCCCCTGAACTAACTCAGCTGAACTTTCTTTGATCAATATCTTCCCGTAAGCCAAAGCTCCTCATGAGGTGTCTCAAAACATGAGGACTGCATAAACATCCTATTCCAATTTTCAAACCATATCACAGACATATTTCCTGCTGCAGAGATTTCAAGCCATATCTCCTACTGCAAACTTCTACTATATCACAAACATGGAAACTGCAGAAACACTGCAAACTTCAACTGCATTAACAACAAATCTCCTACTGCAAACTTCTATATCACAAACATGGAAACTATAGAAACACTGCAAACTTCAACTGCATTAACAACAAATCTCCTACTGCAAACTTCTACTATATCACAAACATGGAAACTGCAGAAACTTCAACTGCATTAACACCAAATCTCCTACTGCAAACTTCTATTATATCACAAACATGGAAACTGCAGAAAACACTGCAAACACTGCAAACTTCAACTGCATTGCAAGCAAAAATACTTCTATCGAGAATGCAAATATTCTGCGCACTTTCAAAAAAAAACTCTACACACACTGCAAACTATATCACAACCAAGAACTGCACATATTTCTGCTGCACTTTCAAAAAACTTCTACAAACACTTCAAACTATATCACAACCATGAGAACTGCAGAAACTTTCTGCTGCATTTTTCAAACCAATATTCTCCCAAAAAACATTCCAAATTTCAAACTTAATCAAACAACACATTCAGCAAACTTTTTCTGCACAAACTACTTCAACTGCATTTCAAACAAAAACTTCTGCTCTATAACACTACAAGCTTCAACTGCAGTAGAAGCAAAACACTTCTACACACACTGCAAAATTTTTCTACATACTGCAAAATTCCATAGCTCCTACTACATTACAATCAAACAAAATCAGCAAATTCTAACTGCTTCAGAAGTGAACTCTAGCTGTACATGAGCAAATTTCTATTCATCACAAACTATATCTCCTGGCTGCTGTGATCACTTTGTACAAATTCAGATGTGACAGTTAGCTTATCCCTTAGCATAGCAAAATGTGAACAAGAGAGAGCTTTGGTTAGAACATCAGCTATCTGATATTCAGATGAAACATACTGCACATTTAACAGTTTTCGTGTAACTAATTCCTAAACAAATGACCACATTTGATGTGTTTGTTCGGGCATGAAAAACAGGATTGGAGGATAATGCCCCGCCACTCATGTTGTCACACCATATCACAGGAGTGTTATTTATGTGAATGCCAAGTTCCTTGAATAGGTTTTGAATCATACAAGTTCAGTGGCGTTTGACTCAGAGATCTGTATTCAGCTTCTGTAGATGATAAGGACACTACCTTGTTTTCTAGATGACCATTGGACAAGTTGCCTCCAAGAAAAACAGTGTACCCATGGGGGATCTCCTATTAGTTTCACTCTAGCCCAATCAGCATCTGAAAATGCTTCTAAAGTAAAAGGCTGCTTCTTTGTAAAGAGAATGCCATGCTGGCATTGTTCCCTTAACATATCGGAGAATTCTTTTACATGCTGTTCAGTGAGCTTCAGTGGGCTGCTGCAAGAACTGGCTGAGCTTGTTTACAGCAAAGGCCAAATCTGGCCGAGAGAGAGTGTTAAATATTGAAGGCCACCAATGACACTTCTGTACAATGTGGGCTGATCAAACACCTTACTATTCCTTTCCAAGTCGAAGACCAGTAGCCATGGGGGTGGAGCAAGGCTTTGAGTCTGCCATTCTGCCTTTAAGAGTAGATCATGTGCATATTTAGTCTGGGACAGTAGTAATTCAGACTCATTTCTCTTACCTCAAAACCCAGGAAGTACTGCACTGTCCCAAGAGTTTTAGGGCAAATTTGCTATTCAAGTCAGCAATCAAAATTGATATGAGCTGAGATCATTCCCTGTTACAAGGATATCACTACATACACTAACAGAACATTAGCTTGAAATCCTTTTTGTAAAAAAATAAACTCAATTGAAACAGAGTTTTCAAAGCCCCATAATCAATGCAGCTTTGAGTTTGTCAAACCAAGCTCTAGGGGCTTGTTTTAAGCCATACAATGCTTTATGAAGTTTACAAACCTGCGCAGGATGACCCTTGGTTGCTGCAGTACCAGAATACCCTTCAGGAGGAAGCATAAAGACTGTTTTAGAGAGCTCCCCTTCAGGAACGCATTATTAACATCCAACTGTTGGATTTCCAATTTTGATGCACTGCATAGGATACATTCTCTTGATTGTGTGGCTGCTAACAACAGGAGAAAATGTATCAAAGTAATCTAAACCAGGTGTTTGTGTGGAAGCCTTAGCAAACAACCTGGCCTTATACTTCTGAAGT